CCTGGCTGGAGGCCACCAATGCAAATGGTTACAGCAAATTCTAACAGAACCCTGCTCTAAGGAAGGAGAAAGCAACAGCTAATTCCACCACTTGTAACATCCTGGCTGACCACAGGTCCAGAGTCTGTCCACATGACAACTTCACTGCAGCATAACCAGCATTCGAGAAAGCCAGTGCACTCAGCAAAACTACAACCAAGGACCCCGCCAGAGTCCACCTCACTCCCCTGCCACCTCCACAGAGCAGGTGCTGGTACCCACGGCGGGGAGACCTGAAGACGGATCACATCACGGGGCTCGGCAGACATTCCCCAGCACCATCCCAGGGCCTGGAAGCCCCACTGGGTGGCTAGACCCAGAAGAGCAATCTCATCACTGCAGCCCAGCTCTCAGGAGGCCCCATCCCTAGGGGAAGGGAAGAGCACCACAGAGCACCCCGTGGGACGAAAGAATCTGAACAGCAGCCCGTGAGTTCCAGATCTTTCCAATGAAATAGTCTGCCCAAATGAGGAGGCAGAAAACCAATTGTGATAATATGATAAAACAAGGTTCTATAGCACCCCCAAAAGATCACAGGAGCTCCCCAGCAATGGATCAAACCAAGAAGAAATCTCTGAATTGCCAGATAAAGAATTCTGAAGGTTGATTATTAAGCTACTCAAGGACATACCAGACAAAGGTGAAAACCAACTTTTCACTTTCTTTGTTGGCTTTCTGTCTTGATGACCTGTCTAGTGCTGAAAAAGGTGAAAGGTGAAAAAAATACAGAATGTGGATGAAAAATGCTCCAGATAAATAAGTATCATAAAGAAAAATCAATTCCAACCTCTGGAAATGAAAGACACGCTTAAAGAAACGAAATACACTGGAAAGTTTCAATAATAGACTAGAACTAGAACAGGAGAAGAAAGAGCTTCAGAGCTTAAAGACAAAGTTTTCAAATCAGCCCAATTCAACAAACACAAAGATAAAAGAATAGTAAAAAAAAAAAAAAAAAAAACAAAGCCTCCAAGATATTTGGGATTATGTTAAACAACGAAACCTAAGGATAATTGGTGTTCCTGAGGAAGAAGAGAAATCGAAAAGTTTGGAAAATGTATTTGAGGGAACAACTGAGGAAAACTTCCTGGTCTTGCTAGAGATCTAGACATCCAAATACAGGAAGCTCAAAGAATACCTGGGCAATTCATCACAAAAAGATCATCGCCTCAGCACATAGTCATCAGGTTATCTAAAGTCAAGACGAAGGAAAGAATCTTAAAAGCTGTGAGCCAAAAGCACCAGGTAACCTATAAAGGAAAACCTATCAGATTAACAGCAGATTTCTCAGCAGAAACCCTACTACAAGGGACTGGGGTCCTACCTTCAGCCTCCACAAACAAAATAATTATCCGCCAAGAATTTTGTATTCAGCAAAACTAAGCTTCATAAATGAAGGAGAGATCATCTTCTTTAGACAAACAAATGCTGAGAGAATTCACCACTACCAAGCCAGTACTACAAGAAATGCTAAAAGAAGTTCTAAATCTTGAAACAAAACCTCAAAATACATCAAACTAGAACCTCCTTAAAGCATGAATCTCACAGGGACTATAAAACAACACAATTAAAAGAAAGAAAGAAAGAAAGAAAGAAAACGGTATTCAAGCAGCAACTAGCATGATGAATAGAATATAGTACCTCACACCTCAATACCAAAGTTGAATGTAAATGGCTTAAATGTTCCACTTAAAAGAAAAAGAGTGGCAGAATGGATAAAAATCTGCCTAAAAGCTGTGAGGCAAAAGTCTTCAAGAGACTCACCTAACACATAAGGATTCACATAAACTTAAGGTAAAGGGGTGGAAAAAGATATTCCATGCAAATAGACACCCAAAGTGAGCAGGGTAGCTGTTCTTATATCAGACAAAACAGACTTTAAAGCAACAACAGTTAAAAAAGATGGAGGGATATTATATAACATATCAAAAAGGTAACACCATGATCAAATGGATTTCATATCTGGGATGCAGGGATGGTTTAACATATGCAAGTCAACAAATGCGACACACAACCTAAACAGCACTAAAAACAAAAATCATATGATCATTTTAATAGATGCAGAAGCAACATTTGACAAATCCAGCATCACTTTATGATTAAAACCCTCAGCAAAGGTGGCATAGAAGGGACATACCTCAAGGTAATAAAAGTCATCTATGATAAATCCAAAGTCAACATTATACTGAACAGGGAAAAGTTGAAAGCATTCCTCCTGAGAACTGGAGCAAGACAAGGATGCCCACTCTCACCAATTCTATTCAACATAGTACTGGAAGTCCTAGTCAGTGCAATCAGACAAGAGAAAGAAATAAAGGGCATCCAAATCAGTAAAGAGTAAGTCAAACTGTCACTGTTCACTGACGATATAATCGTATACCTAGGAAACCCTAAAGACTCACCCAAAAAACTCCCAGATTTGATAAATGAATTCCGTAAAGTTTCAGGATACAAAATGAATGTACACAAGTCAGCAGCACTGCTATACACCAATAACAACCAAGCTGAGAATCAAACCAAGAATTCAACTCCTTTTACAACAGCTGCAAAAAAAAAAAAAAAAAGAATGAAACAAAACAAAACACAAAAACAACCAAAAAAACCCACAAAACTTGATCTCTACAAGGAAAATTACAAAACACTGCTGAAAGAAATCATAGACAACACAAACTATTGGAAACACATCCCATGCTCATGGATGGGTAGAATCAATATTGTGAAAATGACCATACCACAAAAGCAATCTATCAATGCAATTCCCATCAAAATGCCATCATCATTCTTCACAGAACTAGAAAAAACAAAATCCTAAAATTCATATGGATCCAAAACGGAGCCTACATAGCCAAAGCAAGACTAAGCAAAAAGTACAAATCTGGAGGTACACATTACTCAACTTCAAACTATCCTACAAGACTACAGTTACCAAAACAGCATGGTACTGCTATAAAAATAGGTACCTAGACCAGTGGAGCAGAATAGAGAACCCAGAAATAAAGTGAAATACTTACAGATCTTCGACAAAGCAAACAAAAACACAAAGTGGGGAAAGGACATCCTATTCAAAAATGGTGCAGGATTAATTGGCAACCCACATGTAGAAGAATGAAACTGGATCCTCGTCTCTCATCTTATACAAAAATCAACTCAAGGTGGATCAAAGACTTAAATCTAAGACCTGAAATCATAAAAATTCTAGAGGATAACATCTGGAAAACTCTTCTAGACATTGGCTTAGGCAAAGAGTTCCTGACCAAGAACCCAAAAGCAAAAGCAACAAAAACAAACATTAATAGTTAGGACATAATTAAACTAAAAGCTTCTGCACAGCAAAAGAAACAATCAGCAAACAGCCCCCAGAGTGGGAGAAAATACTCGCAAACTTTGCATCCGACCAAGGACTAATATCCACAATCTACAAGGAACCAAAACAAATCAGCATTAAAAAAAATAAAAATAATAATCCCATCAAAATGTAGGCTAAGGACATGAATAGACAATTCTCAAAAGAAGGTACACAAACATACGAAAAAATGCTCAACATCACTAATGATCAGGGAAATGCAAACGAAAACCACAACAGGATACTACCTTACTCCTGCAAGAAGAGCCATAATCAAAAAACCAAAAAATTATGGATGTCGGCGTGGATGTGGTGAAGGGGAACACCGTGACACTGCTGGTGGGAATGCAAACTAGTACAACCACTATGGAAAACAGTATGGAGATTCTTAAAGAACTAAAGGTAGATCTACCATTGATCCAGCAATCCCACTGCCGGGTATCTACCCAGAGGAAAAGAAGTCACTATATGAAAAAGACACTTGCACATGCATGTTTATAGCAGCACAATCCACAGCCGTGAAAACATGGAACCGGCCTGAATGCCCATTGGCCAGTGAGTGGATGAAGAAAATGTGGTATATCAGCCATAAAAAGGAAGGAAATGAATGCTTTGCAGCAACCTGGATGGATCTGGAGACCATTATTCTAAATGAAGTAACTCAGGAACAGAAAACCAAATATCACATGTTCTCACTCCTAAGTGGGAACTAAGCTATGAGGATGCAAAGGCATGAGAATGACACAATGGACTTTGGGGACTCAAGGGGAAGAGTGGAGGGGGTGAGGGATAAAAGACTACACATTGGGTACAGTGTACACTGCTCGGGTGATGGGTGCACCAAAATCTCAGAAATTACCATTTTATCCATGTAACCAAACATCACCTGTTCCCCAAAAACAATTAAAGTTTAAAAAAAAAAAAAGATAAAATAAGCCAGGCACAGTGGCTCATGTCTGTAATCCCAGCACTTTGGGAGGCCGAGGCAGGTGGATTACTTGAGGTCAGGTGTTTGAGACCAGCCTGGCCAACATGAGAAAATCCTGTCTGTACTCAAAATACAAAATACAAAAATTAGCCAGGCGTTGTGGTACACACCTGTAGTCCCAGTTACTCAGGAGAGTGAGACTCTCTCAAAACAAAACCAAAAACAAAAAAAGTTAATTAAATAAAATTTAAAAGAATAAAAAATAAAACACTGAAAAGAAATACAAGTGGGATAAAATGAAAAAATCTTCTGTATTTTTTCCCGAGTAAAAACTGTCCAAGTAACTTAATTATTGCTGGAACAATTAATGCTATTCCACGTGGAAACAGCTCAAATACCCCATAAAGAACAAACAAGTAAAATGGCACTTCTATGAAAGTTTTGTTTAAAAAACACAAAAAACAGACACTGAAAATGCTTAAAAACAAAATCAAGTTGAAAAAGCAATAGGTTTGTTGTAATTACACCACAGAAAAACCCAAACTTTCAGAAAACACTTAAAAATATATACATAGAATAAAAAAAGGATGACTCTAGACCAAAATAGCACTGACGGTGCTTCTAGGCGAGTCTGGGTGCACGCTGCTTTTCTCTATCAATCAGGTCATGAGGGAGAAAGGCCGAACCACCTCGAGCTCCTGCTTCCGTGCTCCTGGCCTCGCCGCGCTCTGAGAACACCTTTGAGGCTGCTGGGCCTGCCAGGACTCCCGTGTTACTAGAGGGAGAGCCAGGCGGAGTGACTCCCGGAGTCTGCACCGCGACGAGGGTCCCAGGGTCCTGGCGCCTCCCGAGAGCGGGTAATTACCGTGACTCACATTTCAGGGAGGCATCCACGCCGACAGACGCGCCAACCCTGCTGTGACTCTGAACTGAAGGCATGAGTTTTTGGGCATCTCAAGAGAGGATTTACCTTCTCTCCAATTAACAAAAGGGAGAGGGGCTACCTTCATCTTCGTCCAGTCCTCCTGGAAGGGGATCCTGTCCGCGTCGTCCGTGGAGTTGAGGTGTCTGCTCCTGAACTCGTTTCCCACCTCCCGCAGGTGCCTGGCGAACACCATGCTGCGACGGGTCTGTGGAAACGGTGACGGCTTGGCTGAGAACAGCCCGCCCGCCATGCCGCCCTTCTGGAGCGGGTTCTCCCATAGCTGCCGCCACCCACCCCTGCAGCTGGAACAAGACCCTCAGAGACATTCCTCATCAACAGTCGCCCGAGAAGCAGTGCCATCCACGGTGGAGGCTCTCGAAGGGTCTCCGGCATGAAGCCAATGCAGGGCAAGCCGTCCACCCCTGCCAGCTCTGCCAGGCTCCCCCAAGGGAAGCTGTGGCACACACGGGCTCAGCTGGCCGTTGCCCCTGGCTGGCACAACTGTGTGCAGCTCCTTCCCCTCAGTGTCTCCCCAACTTGACTTCTAGCTTTTGCCAAATGGGGCGGGACCGACCTGCACAAGGCCCCATGTGAGCAGGGACTGTCTCCTGCAGGCAGGTTCCAGCTTTACAAGCTGCTGCCCTGGTGAACATGTCAGCAGGCCTGCTGTGCCCACGGGAGGGGGGCAGCCGCTTCCCGCCCTATACTCCCACTCACTCACAGAACCAGGGTGGCTATGGAAAGTCACCCCATCAACACAGAAATCAACGGCAATGGGAAAGACCCGCTGCAGAAAACAGTCCCACCTTTCAAAGCTAAAGAAAGGAGAAAGGAGGGGTCTACGTTCCAGCCACTGACGGAGTCACTGACTCGGGGGCTGACTCCAGGGCACCGCCACTGCATTCAGGGCCTGTGGCATCAGAGGGGAGAGCTGGGTGGCCCTGTGGGCTCCCGAGGACCTGGCTCTGCGGCCACGTGAGACTCGGGGGCGGCAGAGTCACTGCAGGTGCCCGTATCCAGGGCTTCAATTATGATTTTAATCAGCAAAGTTCAAAAGAGCCAACAACTGTTTTAAATTTTCAAAAACTAAATAATAGGCAACATACACTAATTTAGAAAGATGCTCCCGAGGAAACACTCACATCCCAGTATTCTTTCCCTCCGTAGTGGTCATGAAGTAGGTTCTCGGCTCTGTCTAACATCACGGACCTATTTTTAAACAACATGACAATAGTTATAAGAGTTAAGGATGATGACAGTCACACTCTCAGAGCACAAACTGGGAGAACCCAGGGCCGGGGAAGCAGAGACCAAGTCTTCAAGGGACACCAACCAGGGCGCGTCGGGCGGTTATGGCTGAGACACAGGCAGGCTGCTGTCTGGCCTCCACACCACAGTTCTGAGGGTTTAACGCCCACTGTCAACTCAGAGAATGACATCAGAGAAAAGTATCTCCTAATTTGAGGAGTGTATTTGGGAGTGGGCAGAAGGCTTGGAATCCAGGATCCACTGATGGCTATGGCAAGCTGCAGTGCGCCTGGAGACGGGAGGCTGTGGGAAGCTTTTCTTTGGCAAAAAGGAGAGGTTCACATAAGCTGCTTGGAAACAAATTCACTGACTCGGGCTCAAAGCTGGAGCTGCATCTGTTCCGTGGTAGAGACGCCATTCCCGGGCAGGCATTCTTGCGACAGTGTCTCGTCCGAGTTACTGCAGCCCTTGTCCATTGGCAAACCTGGTCCCAGGAATACGTGCACGTGTGAAGCGGTGGCTGTGAAAGTGTGAGGTGCATGAAATGTGTGAGGAACGTCCTGGGGTTATTTCAGAGAGCCCTCCAGCCAGCCTTCATCTGAGACTCCTGGCAGGCACCTCCTCCTCAGCGCCTTCCTGGGGTTATTTCAGAGAGCCCTCCAGCCAGCCTTCATCTCAGACTCCAGCCAGCCTTCATCTCAGACTCCAGCCAGCCTTCATCTCAGACTCCTGGCAGGCACCTCCTCCTCAGCGCCTTCCTGGGGTTATTTCAGAGAGCCCTCCAGCCAGCCTTTATCTCAGACTCGCAGGCAGGCACCTCCTACTCTGCGCCTTCTTGCTCCAGTTTGGGTCTGACAAGTCATCCAGGTGCCTGTGACTGTCACGCTAAACGCTACCTAATTCCATGTGGGAAGTGCCTCTCCTTTTCCAGCCATTGAACCAACCGTCTCACCACACTTCCTAGGGCTCTTGATGCAAAATAAAAACGAAACGCACAAAACGGATCGTAAGAAAAGAGACCCGAATACTGGGGTGGTAAAGGTTGGAATAAAAAAACCCAGAAATGTTTAAGGAAAAGACTGATGAATTTGACTACATTAAAAATTTTAATTTTGGTCTGGTGCAGTGGCTCACACCTGTAATCCCAGCATTTTGGGAGGCCGAGGTGGGCGGATCACAAAGTCAGGCAATTGAAACCAATCGTCCTCTTCTGGGTGGCATCCTAGTTTTATGCCCTCATGGTTCACACACAGTCTCTTCTACACAAACCTGGAAACAACCAAAGGCCACATTTTCTTCCATCTGTACACAAACAGCTGCAAAAGAGCGAGGTGATGTCCACGTGTCGTAATACCCAGGTGTGCAGCTGGGTGGGAAGAGAAGGGCAAACTGAAAACTGCGTGGACAGCGTGTGTGGTGATTCCACGTGTTTAAAAAGACGGCCGCATGCACAGGCGGCGACGTGAGGTGATTTCTGGAGAGATGGGCATAGCTGGATTCAGTGGGTGCCTCTGGCCCTGCTTCCAACGCCGTTTAAGGCTTTTTGTGAAATGCAATACCACACTTCGAGACGCACATTCCGCACGGGCGCAGGTAGAGGACATTCCGCACAGGCGCAGGTAGGCAAACTGCTCCAAAACGAACACGGTGCAGCCCCTACCTGGGTGGAGGAACAAGGAGGAACAAAGCCCTTCACACACTTGCTCTGCCCCGTCCTCAGGGGCCTCCCCGGCATCCCCCATCTCTACCTCCGATGCACGGGACTGTCTTTGACCTTCATGCACATGGAACATGACCACATTTATCTTTTTCTTTTTTTTTTTTAAACTGGGCATTGTATCTTGATTTCTCTTTGTTGAAAACGGCAGCAGTCTGCCCATCGTCAGTTGTGGATCTACCACACTCCATCCCGTGCGTGGCTGAGGGGTGCACGGGTTTTCCTGGTCCGGGGAGGCCATGAACATTCCTGGGCAGGGGTCTGTGGGTGCACGTCCTGCATTCGGGGTGCACCGGACTCTCAGGGTTTTACCAAATTCTCGCTCCAGGAGCAGCCTTCCAGCCCCTGTGGACCTGTCGTCCCAACGGTGGATGGTTTCCTGAGCACGACAGCACTGGGGCACCTGCTCACATTAACAGCAGCCGTTCTTACTCCTGAATCACATGGATCCCGTCTTAGACTCACCTCACCCCAGGCTGCCCGTCCCTCACTCACTGGGTTTCGTCTCCTGTATCCCGGAAAGTCCTTAGTTCATGAAATGTGCTGCAGGACCTTCCTCTCTGAGGCCTGTCTCCATTCTTCTAATGGACAAAAGTTCTTGATTTTAAAGTAACTGGCTTTACCAATCTTTCTTTTTTGGTGCGTGCTTTTCCCATCTTGCTGAAGAAAGCTTCCTGCCCCAAGGTGGTGAGGCTCCTCTCTTAATGGCTTTATAGCTTCACCTTCCCATTAGGGCTTTAACCCCCATTAGAGACTTTCCCTGGGTGCTGGGGGCAGACGGCCTTGCCCCCACCATCAGCCTCCTTCCCCTGCAGCCCGGCAGAGGCGTTTCTCCTCAATCAGGACCATCTGGCTGGAAGCCCCTCTGGGCTCAGCTCCATTCTAACCTGCAAATGTGAATAGAAAAAACTGACAGGCACGACTGTTCCACAGGCCCCACACGTAGGCAGACTGGCTTCCGAAACCCGGATATTTTCATGAAATGAACCCAGTCCCAGGACATTAAAGCTGCATCTCAACCACCAAAACAATTCAGCCTAGTTCCCTCCACAACCTGAGTTCTGCTTTTCCGCAACAGCCGGGCTGGCCGAGCAGCAGACACACGGGCCTGTGCTGGAGCCACCTGCCTTCACAAAGGCCCAGAGCAGCTGAGACCACGTGGTCCCGGCCCACTGGGGCCAGTGGCAGCTGTTACTGACCAGAGTGGTACTGAGCCAGCTGTGATGTCCAATAGGGTCGCGACTGCCATGGCTTCTAGAGGCGCACACAGGGCACGATAGCAGACAAGGCAGCCTCAACCTCAACGTGGGCAAGCGCGAGAGGCACCCATGCCCTGCTGTGCCCAGTCTGTGGGAGACTGTGGGCGGTAAGCCACCCAGGTGCCGAGGAAAGAGATCGAGGGCACAAGCTGTTCCAGTATAATAAAATGTGTAAAATAACAATAGTTATACTAGATATAGATAATAGATACGATTATGTATGAATATCATTAATCATTAGTTTGTAGTAATTACTCTTTATTCCAATATTATAATAATCCTCGCTCTATAATTATAACTTAGGAAAAACCAGGCCATACAGAGATAGGAGATGAGGGGACATAGTGAGAAGTGACCAGAAGACAAGAATGTGAGCCTTCTGTTATGCCCGGGCAGGGCCACCAGAGGGCGCCTTCGTCTAGCGGTAACGCCAGCGTCAGGGAAGACGTCCGTTGCCAAGTGGACCATGGTCAAGCGGTAGCGTCAGTGTCAAGGAAAACACCCGCTACTCAGCAGACAGGGAAAAGGAGACTCCCTTTCCCCGGAGGAGTTCAGAGAAGACTCTACTCCTCCACCTCTTGTGGAGGGACTGACTGATGTCGGGCACACCCGCAGTTATCCGGAGGCCTGTCTCCCTGTGATGCTGTGCTTCAGCGGTCACGCTCCTAGTCCGCCTTCACGTTCCATCCTGTACACCTGGCTCTGCCTTTTAGGTAACAGTAGCAAATTAGTGAACGTACTAAAAGTCTCTGATACGCGGAAATAATGGCGTAAGCTGTCTCTCTCTCTCTCCTTTCTTTCTCTCTGCCTTGGCTGCCAGGCAGGGAAGGGCCCCCGTCCAGTGGACATGTGACCCACGTGACTTTACCTATCAATGCAGATGGCTCACATTCCTTACCCTGCCCCTTTTGCCTTGTATCCAATAAATATCAGCGCAGCCTGGCATTCGGGGCCACTACTGGTCTCCGCGTCTCGGTGGTAGTGGTCTCCCGGGCCTAGCTGCTTTTTCTTTTATCTCTTTGTCTTGTGTCTTTATTCCTACAATCTCTCGTCTCCGCACATGGGGAGAAAAACCCACCAACCCTGGGGGGCTGGACCCTACAGGAGATGCTCACAGCACCTGCTGGGGGACTCAGAAGAAGATCCAAGGGAGGTGACGGAGAGGGTCCCAGTCTGCAGCAAGTTCTAAGAACATGGTCATCAACAGTTCCCTCCGGAGTTTATGACATCATCAGGTACCGACTTGTCTGCAACCCCAGCCGCCTGGGTGGACCCTCGCGGCCCAGCTCACCAGGCCGGCGGCCACTTGTGGCAGACGCATGGCCAAAGGTGGCTGCACGATCCTCTCCAGACCCATGAGGCAGCAGACAGATCAAACGGTGGGTGTTGGGTGTGGGGAGGGGGCAGGTATTGGTAAAAGTTGCCCAAGTGGTACAAATGGAGAACAGTCTCATGGTAAGCCCCCGCCGCCCCCAGCCCAGCCCCTCCCCGCACACTCGGCCGGGCTGAGCCCTCACCTCTGTGCCCCTCGCCCGCTGTCCACATCACCCACTGTGCTGTTTCGCGGAGACACATGCAACCACTTTCCTAACCAACACCCCCAGGTGCTGTCTGTGAGGTGGGTGGGCCAGGGATGCGGGAGTGGAGACGGACAGCCCCTAGCCCAGCACGCACGGAGCAGGCACCGCGGCCTCCAGGCTGCTCCTGAGGGGAGCAGGGCACTTACCGGGCTGATGTGTTTCTCAGAAGCAGGGGCGCCACGATGGAGGCTGAGCCCTGGACGGACAGACAGGAGACGTTCAGACCCCTGGTCTCCTCATAACCCCAAAACCATCCTCTGGAAGACAAAACCCGCGGCGGCTCTGTCAGTTTATTTTGCTTTCACGAGAAAAACAAATCGAGTCTAGACACGCACACACCGTGGCTTGCTCTTGATGAAACACGGCTGCTTTAGGAAAACTTACCGATCACCGACTGCGGATCGTGACATTCTCGTAAAATTGTAAAAGAAGCCCACAAGCGCCTCTCAGGCTGATGAACCACTGAGGCCTTCCCCATGACAGGGGTTGCCGGGAGGCAGAGGGAGCAGGACAGAGGCAGCCCTGTGCACCTTCAGGGCCAGCCTGGCTGTGACCGTCACCCAAGTCACCCGCGCCCTTCCCAAGAGCTCACTTGCCGTGCTTTAGAGCAGCTGCCCTGGCACTGGACACACGGAGGCTGGGAACTGACAGCTTTTCCACAGTAGGCCTGGCAGTGTCAGAGCCTTTAATGGCAATCAACAGTTGGGACTGACAAGACCCCCATTCCTGTGGCAACATCCAAATGCAGGAAAAGACACAGGGAAAAAGGCACGGGGTCTCGGCCGGTTGTTCGCCACGGCCCATTCTCGAGGCCTCAGCACAAAGGGGACCCGCCTGTCAAGGATGAGAACGGTGTGGGCAGCCACAAGCGCTACTACCACGAGGGGCACCGAAGCACTGTCAGGATGCGGGGGGAGGGGAACGCCCAGAACCCGGCATCAGCACCCAGCGTGGGCACCGAGGGCGCTGTGTGTGTGTGTGGTGGGGGCGCTGTGGCATGGGGGAGAGGCTGCAGCAAGGGGAGGAGGTGGAGGGCACTGCTGCCGGGGGTGGGGAGGGGAGTGGCTGAGGGGGGCGCCTGTGGCAGGGGGAGGGGGTGTGCATGTGGGGGGGCGGGGCGTGCATGTGGCAGGGGGAGGCAGCTGGGGCTGAGGGTACTGTGAGGGTGTGGGGCGAGGAGTGCCTGGGGGAGGTGCCTGCCGCAGGGTGCGGGGGGGAGCCTGCGGCAGGGGGCACATGCAGCAGGGGGAGGAGGCGGGGGCTATAGGTACTGCGGGGGTGTGGGGCGAGGAGTGCCTGGGGGAGGTGCCTGCCGCAGGGTGGCGGGGGGCGCCTGCGGCAGGGGGAGGAGGCAGGGAGCAGCCGCAGCAGGCACCTGTAGTACTCGTGCTTGTCCTGGGAGTACAGGAGCTGATCGATACACGGCCGCTCATCCACCTTCTCTTCCCAGGTCCCTTCTTTCCATCCCTCTGCATAACTTTGTAGGACGTAAACCTGGTCAATAAAGGGCCCACCAGACTCTGAAAAACACCAAGAGAAGCCGGGCAGCATGACAGCAATTGGAAGCTCACTTACGGGCACGCATCAGCCACCAGCAGGTGACTCTTACTACTGTACACCACCCTATTCCCAAAGAGACTGCAGGAGGCTCACAAAGGCCAAGACAGGTCAGAGCACAGGCCATGATGGCACAGGGCCGACAGCGTGCGATAGCAGCCAGTGGGGAGGAGCTGGTCCCCGATTCCCCAGCCCCACCCCTGCCTGGCTGCAGCAGGCCCCATCCTCACAGAGGCCCATGTGAGCCCGTCCAGCCTTCACGCCCCTGGTCCAGCCGCCGGGGGCTCGCTCTCTGGCCCTCTGTGAGGCCACTGTCCCCTACCCCCTTGGTTTCCCACAGTGCTCCTCACCACCTGGGCCACCATCTACTGCACTGGTGTCCTGCCTCCCCCAGGGACAGGAGCTCAGGCGAGCAGGAATCGTGCCTCTTACCCACGGCCCAACCCACATGGAGAAGGTGACACTGCGTTGCCCAAGAGATCAGCAATCAAGATCTGCTCAAGGGGGCAGGAACACAGCGGGGAAAGAGCACGGCACAGGTGAAGTTCTGGGGAAGGAGCACTGCAGGAAAGGAGCACCGTGCAGGTGAGGTCCTGGGGCAGGAACACAGTGGGGAGGGAGCACCGTGCAGGTGAGGTCCTGGGGCAGGAACACAGCGGGGAGGGAGCACCGTGCAGGTGAGGTCCTGGGGCAGAAACACAGCAGGGAGGGGAGCACTGTGCAGGTGAAGTCCTGGGGCAGGAACATAGCGGGGAGGGAGCACCGTACAGGCGAGGTCCTGGGGCAGGAACATAGCGGGGAGGGAGCACCGTACAGGCGAGGTCCTGGGGCAGGAACATAGCGGGGAGGGAGCACTGTGCAGGTGAGGTCCTGGGGCAGGAACACAGCGGGGAGGGAGCACCGTGCAGGTGAGGTCCTGGGGCAGGAACATAGCGGGGAGGGAGCACCCTGCTGGGGAAGTTCTGGGGCAGGAACAAAGCAGGGAAGTAGCACCGTGCAGGTGAAGTTCTGGTGTCCTTTTTGCTCACTCATGACTGGGGGCTAAGGGCTGCGTGGCCTACAGGCCCAAGGCCGGAGCTGCGGGGGCTCCTTCTATGCTAGTGGGAGGTGGTGAAGATCCCACACGCTGGGTGCTATGTTAGCCACATCAGGAGCTAGTTCCTTCCCCACCTTACAGGCAAGGAAACAGCTCAGCAAAGCCCCAGGCTGGTAGACTGCAGGGAAGCGTGAGGCCAGCATATCCGCCTCAGAAGCTCATCACATGGGGTCTGTCTTCCCAGACCTTCCCAAGCACTTGGATGCCCAAGGCCCAGACCTGCCCGCTTCCCTGTCAGGAAACCCACTGGTCCCAAAGGGAGGTAAGGATAACGTCTCCGAGTTCCTGTAACCTAATGTTCAGACCAAGGGCTGGCTGCTAGTTACACCAAACACCCAACCACAGCTTTCATCTTCCAGGACTCATGAGCAAGTTGTAAAGTCAACTCAGGATGCACTCTAGGAATGCTTTTTACAAGCGGCAGACTTTGTGACTTGGTATCAACCAGGATGTCAGAGGTTACTCCCTGTTGTTGCATGCTCCTAGCACTCACAAGACTGACCCTGCCAGAGAAAACATTTCAAAGTGACAAGATCTAGGGTGCAACGAGCACCATCCTTGAAAAATGACGGCACGGGAGCCACACTCCTTGGCAGGGAGCAAAGGTCTCTAAGCCCCAAGAGTGGCTGTCCAGTAAGAACTCAACAGTTGCTGGAAAGCAGGAGCCTGACTCAAAACTAACTCATTCATCTTCACGGCTTCTCAAATGCAGCAGCAAAGCATCACTTACTTTTAAATTTATGTCTTCCAAATGACACAACACAAAAAGCTCTGAATACCTTCATTCTAAGAAGAGCTTTAATTCCTCTCCTAAAATTAAATGAAAAAATTAAGCAACACAAAGTTAAACAAGACAGACCTTTATCCCTGGTGCTGCACAGCGACACCACGAAGCATACTCTGCACGCAGCACGTCATCCTTAGCGTAAAACAGCCTTTCGCACAGGGAGCTGAGTCCTGTCGGTCCAGCACCCGGGGTGGCCGCTTTCTTAGGGTGTTAGGGCGGCTCTAACTGCATTCACCTACTCATCAGGCCACCGTGGGTTCCAGAAGTGAGGGGGCACAAAGCTCATCCACTTCAGGTCTATTTTCCGAGAAACATTTTGGGAAGCTCACTGCAGCATGGGAAAGGGACTGTGCTCCTGAGTGGAAGAGGTGCTGCCACAGGCCTCAGGCAGCAGCGCTGGGCACTGGAGGATGCTGGTGAGTCTGGATGAAGTCGCAAGCCCAACCTGATGTCTACCTTAGAAATGATTGCCCGGCCCCAGTTAAAAAACCACAGCCTCCCAGCGTGCCGCTCGGCCTCACCTGCGATGAACTGCTCATACTCGATGACGGGGATGTTTTTATTGAGACTCGGAAGATCAAAAAACTCAGACCAGGGAATCCGGACCTGGTGGATGTCAGGACTCTGCCAGTGATAGAGGCGGCCCCACGGAGGCAGGACAAGCACCCACTCCTCCGTCTTCAGCAGAGTCTTCAGGAGAGAGGCGATTCGGATATAGACATCCCTGCGCAGGTTGAAGCCTTCCGGGGGGTTGACGTCATACAGAAGATACCTGAGCAGGCAGAATGAGGACCACAGGTCTCGAATGCTGGGGTTTCTGCACGGAAAACCTGACTACTCAGAAGTCTCAGCGTATGGCCCAACTCTAGGCGCTTAAGATGGTCCCCACTTTGTGAAGGCAGTGAGTGGCCTGTTTCTCTACGACCAGTTACTTATGGAGCCCGTAAGCAGAAACAGCAGACATGCTAACGTCCTTTTAACAACTAGCAATAGTTCAACACTAAGGCTAGAGGAATCCCAGTGACTAGAACCCAAGAATCAGTACCCACATGGTTCTCAAACTGTTTGGTCTAAAGACCCCTTTACACTGGAAACAATGATTGATGGCTGGTTATGTGCAGTATGTCTATTGATATGTCCTATATTAGACATTAAAGCTACAAGTATTTAATTCAGATAAAAATAATAAGCCATTACATGTTAACAAAAATCACATATTTAAACAAAAAATAAGCGTACTTTAAAAAATGAATTAGTGAGAAGAACTGTGACGATGTTCTTTTTATTTATTTATTTATTTTGAGACGGAGTCTTGCTCTGTCTCCCAGGCTGGAGTGCAGTGGCCTGATCTCGGCTCACTGCAAGCTCCGCCTCCCGGGTTCAGGCCATTCTCCTGCCTCAGCCTCCCGAGTAGCTGGGACTACAGGTGCCCGCCACCACGCCCGACTAATTTTTTTGCTTTTTAGTAGAGATCGGGTTTCACCATATTAGCCAGGATGGTCTCGATCTCCTGACCTCGTGATCCACCCACCTCGGCCTCCCAAAGTGCTGGGATTACAGGCGTGAGCCACCGCGCCCGGCCAACGATGTTCTTAATTTTTGCAAATCTCTTTTGGGTCTGGTGACAGCGGGATTCCCATACCCGTTTCTGCATTCAATCTGTTGTGACATCACAGATCAAGGGGTTTCTAGGAAAACTCCGCGGTGCACTCATGAGAGAAGTGAAAAAGGCGTAGAATACCCTGGTACTACTATAAAACAGCTACAAAAGCTCAGAGATCCCGGACACACTTTAAGATCACTGCCCTAGCGGAAGGACACAAAGCACTCCAAGGCACAGACAGGTCCCCAACGGTTACAGAAACCCTGGTACTCTCCTTCTCCTGCTCTGCGCTGGTTTTCCACAGACTCCCACCGTCGCGGGTGAAACTACGTGCAGCGCCCAGGCCTGCGAAGGCCACAAGGGGCCGCGCACCTCTGCGTCCAGGCCCCTCTCGGGGTCCGCTTGGAGAACTCACAGCCACAGGGCGGCTGCGAAGCTCGTCTTGGCCCTAAGAATTCACTGCGGAGCGCCCGCCGGGCACTGACTCCCAGCTTCCCACACCCAGGCCTGGACCCGCGACACTCAGGGGCCTCCTGAGCCCGCCCAGGCTCAGCCCGAGCAACCCGGTGCCCTTCCTGGGCTCCCGAGGCTGCGCCCCTGGCCTCGCGGACAACCCCGCCTGCAGACCCGGGCCGTAGTGACGGAGCTCCGACTACAGTCAACCCACCGGCCCGATCCTGCCCCCAGCCCCTGCCCCATCCCATCCCCTAGGCCCCGGCCCCGGCCCCTGCCCCTGCCCCTACTCCGTCCCCATCGCATCCTTCCTGGTCCCTGCCCCCGCCCCATCCCCATCCCATCCCTCAGGCCCCCGCTCCTGCCCCCATTCCATCCCATCCCTTCAGGTCCAGCCCGTGCCCCGCCCCCATCCCATCCCAACACCCTGGCCCCTGCCCCGCCCCCATCCCATCCCTCCTGGCCCCTGCCCCCTACCCCATACCATCACCCTGGCCCCTTACTCCGCCACATTCCGTGCCCCAGAACCCTGACCCTATCCCATTCCCCTGGACACTGCCCCCTGACCCCGCTCCATCCCATCCCCCTGGCCCCTGCCCCAAGACTCCGCTCCATTCCATCCCCCTGGCCCCGGACCACCCTCCATCCCGTGTGCCTGCCCCCTGACCCCATCCCCTCTCCCTGGCCCCTGACCCCGCCCTATCCCATCGCATCCCAGACCCACCCCGCCCTCATCCCATCCTCTGACCCTGCCCGACCCTGGAACCCCAGCATTGGCACCGTGGACGCGCGTTTACCGTCTGCGGGACGCCGCCCCCGACAGAATGTCGGCCGCCGACTGGCCGGGCCAGAACTCCTGCCCGGAGGCACAAGCCGGCGGCCAGGACGCTGCCCCCAGCAGCAGTAAGACGAAGCTGAGTGCCGCCATGGCCCCCGCCGGCCACGCACTTCCGACGGCCGCGCCCCGCCCCGGAAGCAAGCCCCGCCCCCGTGAAACGCGTTCCCAGTAGCCACGGCAACGCCCAGAGCAGCCCTTCCCGCGCATGCGTTATGCGCCATCACCAGCAAGCCGGGGCGGGAGCAGGAATTGCGCGTGCGCGGATTCTCCGCTCTCCTGAGCGCAGTGGTCGGCGGTTCCGTGGCTGTGGTGCGTGCCGGTGCTGTCGCTGGCGACCTGGCGCAGCCCACGCAGGGACTCCTGAGGGTCCTCGAGGCCGGGAGGTCGGGGGGTCGGGAGGTCGGTGGACCCTGCAGGCCAGTGGGGAGGGGCGAGAGACTGGGGGCCGGGAGGGCTAGACGGCGGGGGCGGGGCAAGGGGCGGGGCAAGGGGCGGGGGCGGGGGCGGGGGCGGGGGCGGGCCCGGGAGAGCTGAGGGCTGGACGGCTCGGGGCGGGCGGGCGGGTGGGGAGGAGGCGCGGGACCGGTAGGGGCGGGGGGGCTGGACGGCGGGGACGGGGCACGGGGGCATCCGTACACTGGATCGGCGCTGGGTGCTCTCGCCCCCCTGGAGGTGGGCACAGGGCGGGAGCCGCGCGTGAAAGCCTGGGTTTCTAGTCGGGGGGCGCCCTCGAGCTCCGCGCCTGCGGCCTCCTGGGTGCCCCCAACCCTGGAGCCCCGAGAGGGGGGCACCCGGGCTGGAGCCTGGCCTTCCAAGGAGCCCTGGAGGGACTGCGCTACTGAGGCGCGGGGCTCGGTGGGGTGATCCGGAGACCCGCGGGGATCCGGAGCTGCCGCCCCTGCGCTGCCAGCCTCCCACCCCGCCCCTTCTGCGAGGCGTTATTAAAGGTCTGCTTTCGGGAGCCAGGTGCCTGCCCGCCGCCACCACACACCGCAGCCTCCAGGCAGCTCCCGCTGCTCCCCAGGGCACCAGCACGGGCCAACAGACCTGGCCTGGGGTGCGGCGCTGTCAGGCCCGGCCTTCGGAGGGGACGCCACGCTGACTAGTGCAGGCAGCCCCCAAAACAGTATAACTGGACGAATTTATTGAAGGATGCCAGTTACCAAAAAGGAAAATACTAATGCCCATTATCTGTTAAATTTGAGATTAATTTGTTATCATGTGTCCTCACACAGAAAATTCCAGGCCCAGAGAGCCAAGCTGGTAAATCGTATTTAGAGAAGAAATAATAGGAATCCAGCCACTCAGACAGTGGAGGAGGAGGGGCCGCTTCCCTGCTTGATGTATGAGGCCAACATTGCCTTGATAGCAGAGTTGGACATCACCGGTCACAGACCAATGTCTTTCATGAACCAAGACACAGAGAGCATTTTTAAAAATTAGCAAATGGAATCTATATCTGCCTATTGTTTACAAAAAAAGCCAAACTTTATAAAATACTTGAAGAGATTTATTCTGAGCTAAATATGACCTCAGCCTCAGGAGGTCCTAAGAACTTGTCCCAAGGCAGTTGTTGTACTGCTTGGTTTTAGACGTTTCAGGGAGACAACATATCAGTCAGTACATGTGAGGTGTGCATTGGATTCATCCAGAATGTCAGGACGACTCCAGGAGGAAAGGCCTCCAGGTCATAGGTGGATTCGAAGGTGTTTCTGATTGGCGATTGGTTGAAAGAATTAAGTTACTACCTGACGGCCTCGAATCAATAGAAAGGAGTGTCTGGGTTAAGGTAAGGGCTGTGGAGACCAAGGTCCTTATTATATGGATGAAATCTCATAGGTGTCTGCCCTTAGAGGCAATACATGGCAAATGTTTCCTATTCAGACCTTCATAAGGCACTTGATTCTCAGCCAGTCTCCTCAGGATCAGAAAAGGAGCTGGAAAGGGAAGGAGAGTCTACAGAATATGAATTTTCCCGCAAGACACAGCTTTGTGGGCCATTTCAAAATTTGTCAAAGTGATATATTTTGGGGTAAAATACATCGATGCTTTGAGGGCCTGCTGTCACGTGATGCTATGCCAACGTCAGATTGGAACTTGCTGTCTTGCTGGTATAGAGTCTGCTCTGTCAGTCTAATAGTCTGTTTTAATGTCAGTCTGGTCAGCTGCACCTGAACTCCAAAGGGAGGTGGGTATAATGAGGCATGTCCAATCCCCATCCCTTCGTGGCCTGAACTCGTTTTTCAGCTTTCTTTGGAATCCCCCTGGTGGAGAGGAGGGGGCCATTCAGTGGGTTGAGAAAGCTTAGAATTTTATTTTTGGTTTACGCTATGTGAAGCAAAAATTAAAGTATTTAACCCTGATAGGGTTATTTTAAAGCTGCAGGAATCAAGGCAGGTTGCTGTGGGTAAGAGGATAGACGGGCAGGTCATGTAGCAGGACGAGCTGTGGACAGAACCCCTCAGATACCGGGTTAAGGAAGAATTTGGCTTTATTTGGCCGGGAGCTTCGGCAGACTTGCGTCTCAAGAACTGAGCTCCCTGTAAGGCAGAATTCCTGGCTCTTTTTAAGGGCTTACAACCCTAAGGGGTCGACGTGAAAGGGTCGTGCTAGATAGAGAGCACATGTGGCTAGAGTGGGGGGGTTAATCTTTTAATCTCAGACCTGAGGTCATCAGTGGCACTGGCTGGTCTTGCCACTGACTTCGTTCCTGTTGTTTTTCAACTTTTCCTTCTTCAGAGACAGGAGACAGTAAAAGAAATGGCCTCGCTCCTCAGTCAGAGCTGAGTCCTGAGCACCCAGAAATGCCAGGTGATGGACAAACGCTTGGGAAAAAAAAAGACCTCAGTCAGACACAGAAGCATGAGCTTTAAAAGAAAAAATAAGATATTGAACTTCACCAACAAATAAGCGTTTCTGGTCTTCGAAAGACACTTAAAATGAAAAGGCAAGCCATTGACGAGGAAAATATTCAGAATAATGGATTTGATAGAGGGCTGTATGTAGAACATATAAAGATCTTTTGAAATGCAGGAATCTGACATGAAGATGGTAGCCAGCCTGACACACAAAGGAACCTGAATGGCCGACGGACAAGAAGGGAATTCTAGTGGCCGATGGGGACAGGAAGGGAAGTGAACGTGAACATCTCAGTGGGGATACCGTTATCACCACTGGAATAGTCCAATTAAAAACATGGACACCAAGTATTGGTGGGTGAATGGAGTGGCCGGAACCATCATACACAGCGATGGGAGCTGCACCCTTTGGAAATCATTTCACAGTTTGTGCTCCATCCTGGCCGAACCCACAGCTGGAGTCTTTCCAAAAGCCGTGACAGGGGAGTTTCCACCAGGGAGTGCCTCAGACTATCCTGAGATGGGGCTGGTTGGGATTCCAGGGAAAGAGGCGATCGTTGCCAGGATGATCTGTCCAGAGCACTTACTAGGGGATCTGGCATAAGGAGGGCTGCAGTGTATCCTCAGGACAGATGGGACAGATAGCATATCTTTGGGACAGACAGCAAGACGGGGGTTCCACCCAGGTCTGTCTGCAGCGAGGGGGTGGGTGTGGAGTTGATATGAGAGTTTAAGGAATTTGGACCAGGGCTGCTTTGTTTCAGGGTTTTGGGCAGTGACCTAAACACCTTTATCAGTGCCTGGAAATGTTCACGGCCCAGCTGGAGTTCAGGCCTGTAGGGAAGACTTGCAACTGGCCGAGCTGCAGAGTGGTCAGGGCACAGAAAGAAAGCTGGAAGCTGGGGACACACCTGCCATATGACCCAGCCGTTCACCTTTACCTGGGAGAAATGGCACCACCTGGCTGAACATACCTGCCTATACACCCGTGAGTCCTCCTGGACAGGTGATGTGACCTCTTGTAGCCTTGGAGGAGCCTGACACTCCCATGGACAGGCCAAGGGGTTTGCCTGGGCCCTGTGGATACAGAGCCCCTTGAGTTGGGTTTCCCTATGCAACCCTGACCCCCCGGGGGCCCACAGCACTGCAGTCCTCCCCGCCCATCAGGAACCCACAGCACTGCAGCCCCCCCACCCCAGGGGCCCACAGCACTGCAGCCCCCCCACCCCAGGGGCCCACAGCACTGCAGCCCTCCCTGCCCCACTGGGGACCCACAGCACTGCAGCCCCCCCACCCCGGGGACCCACAGCACTGCAGCCCCCCCCCCCACCGGGGACTCACAGCACTGCAGCCCCCCCCACCCTGGAGACATACAGCACTGCAGCCACGCCCAGGCCACTGCCTCTGAAGACAGGGCTGCTGCTATTTCTGTGAACAGACACTCCTTCCAGATATCGGTGGTTAATGGCTGGGAAGTGACCGCCCAAGCAGAAGCTGACCCTCTTTATGAAGGGGGCCACAGATCACCCCGAAACAAATCCACAGAACAGCCAAGGCCACATCGGAACTGAGTGGGCCATGCCCTTGCCTCTGCACTGCTCGGGGCCAGGCCTCCCTGACCCCGCTGGCTCTATTGGGAGGACTCAGGGTGGAGCTCTGCTGGGCTCAGTGGCCTTCACAGCTGGGGTCCTACGGGCAGTTCTGTGATCACAACCTGGAGGCCACAGTCCACACCCCGGCTCCAGCAGGCCCAAGTCACTTGTCCGTGGCAAAGGCCTGGCCTTGCTTCAGGCCCCGGGGACTCTCCCCCTGCCCGCTGTTTCTTCCCGAGTAACAGAGGCAGGAGAGCAGGTGAGCCACATGCCGGGCGCCGCAGCAGGGGGCACTCAAGCCTGGCGCCCCTCCGCCTCTCCGTGGTCTCCTGCCTGGGCAGCCTCCATCAGGCTGGGGAGTCTTTTCTTGACCCCTGGATTAAATTCCTAATCAGGAATGACCCGGAAGAGGTCTTACGAGTCTTTCCTCAAGAGAAGAAAGTCTGTCCCTGAGTATCAGGAAGTGGCCCCGTCCCCTGCACGGCACAGTCTCTTCTGTGACCAGCAGCTCACAGCGGAGGAGCTGGCGGCCCCCACAGGCCACTGCCCCGAGGCCACCACGAGAGGGCAGGAGAGCCCTTCCCGGGAGCTCTGTGCCGGGGTGGGGAGCAGGAGAAACGCAGCTCCACCAAGCACAGCATGGATGTGTCCAGCAGGGAATGAAGAGAGGGGCCCCAGCACAAGAGAGAAGTGCACACTGGTCGGCCCCTGTCGGAGTCTCTCGTGTCCCCAGCGACCCCTGAGAGCAGACCCTGGGCCTCTGTAGCCCCTCCTGGAGCCACTCCTCAGCTGCTGACCTGCTCCCAGCTCCTCCGCGCCCCGCCCAGCTCCCTGCAGAACCTCACCTGAGGGGAAGGAGGCCCTGTTTGGGCTCAGACACAGCAGGTGCAGCTTGTGGTCCTGGGGCCACACCTGTTAGAGCCCATCCTTCCACCCCTGCTGGGCCCTGAGTGTCGTCCGTCTCCGCAGAACTCAGCAGGGTCAGCTCTGGGCACTCCAGGCCCCCAGGACCCTGAGTGAGCCCTGGGCCCGAGGTAGATTTGGGTCACAGGCCCCCCGGCCAGAACACCCACAGCAGGTGGATGTGTGGGGACTGGATGTGGGTCCTCTCCTAAGAGACGTGCAGATGGGGAGAGGCCGGGCAGGTCTCAGCTGGAGCATCTACCCGTCACCACCTCGTAGCCTCCTGGCCCAATGGGGGTGGCCCTGGGAGCAGGATCAGCAGTGAAGAGCAGAGAAAGGTAGTTGGAGATGTTACCATTGCCCCCCGAGACCAGCCTGCCATGGAGACAAGGGAGCTGTCCCTTGGCAGAGGGGGGCTGGCTAGTGGGAGGGACAGAGAGTGGACTCACTGAGGACCGCTGAGAGAGCAAACGCCGGGGACCCCGTGCAGGACTGCTTCTCTGTTTGCACAGTGAGTTACCAGGTTCATGTGTTTGGAGTTTCTGGACTCATTGCAAAGTTCCACCCCTGCACATCGCAATTCCCCAGTAATCAGATCCTGTCTTTTGTGCCTGGAAGTGCACAGGGAGGGGACAACTTTGTAAGTCAGTGGCAGGGCAGGGGGTTCCGGTTCTCCAGGGCCAGAGGCTGTGCTTAGAAGGATTTCTTAGCAGGAGCTTTGGGGCCCCCAGTCAACACTTCCCCACAGACAGCCTGGCCAGCTTTGTGGACGGAGGAGGCGCCCGAGAGTCCCAGGCCACCAAGTGACCAAGACATGAAGGCACCCAGGATTTCCTGGGGGTGCACTGATCTCAAGGAAGCCATGTGTGGTCAGATGGGGGAACCAGCGCCCCAGGGGGCCTGCAGCACAGCAGGGCCTGCCCTCCTGGGTGAGACTGGTCGGCGTCTGTGAGGATCTGTTCTCCCGGGGGCCACACCAGCCCACCTGCCCTGAAACAGAACCCGAGCCTTCTGCCTAGGGGAGCACCTGGGCACCTGCCTCCTGTCCTGCCCTGGACACATCCCAGCGGCTGCACATGGGGGAGGCACAGCCTGGGCTGGGGGCCAGGGGGGCACTGTGGAGACACTAGACCTGGGGGTGACAATGCCTGCTCAGAACTTCCCCCTACACCGGGGCTTCTCCAGCCTGAGCTCTCCTGGGGAAGGCAGGGCCTGTCCTTCCTCAGCACCGTGGGAGGGAGGCAAGGCCTGCGGTTGAAGCGCCCCCAATACAGGACTCCAGGAGAGAAAGTACCACATCTCAGGGAATGAAAACAGAGACTGGGCTGCCCAGATGCATTCGGTGGCTCAGAAATCATTAGAAAATGTTCTGAGCCCCCGATTTTGGCTCTAAGAGGGACTGACCGGCTCGTGACCGCTCCCCCGTCTGTGCCTCGAGAGGGGAGTGTTCCGCACTGGCGGCAGCTTTCCCTCCAGGAGGAGCTTCACAAACATCCGCTCTCTGCGGGGTCGCCTCTCCGTGGCCTGGGGCCGCTGTCGGAGGCAGGCTCTCCAGCTGCCGTCATCTGGGAAACGTGGGGGGCGAGCGGGGGTCACGGATGGGGCTCACTGGGGACTGTGAGCATCTGTCCCACAGGACTTTCTGAGATGGAGACGCTGGCAGAGGTGAAAAGTGCGTCATGTGCTTCGCTGAACCCGGCTGCGTATTTATGTTTGGAGGGCTGGTTTCAAGGACTCCTCTTCTCCCTCTCCAGTGATGGCGTCAGCGGAAACCAGCGGAAATGCAGACGGGACTGGGCTGCTGGGGTTTCCTCCCTGGAATGAAGCATGGCCAGAGGATTTGCTGATTCACGAGCAGGCCCTGGTCACCGAGTTCAGGGTAACAAATCCATACGGGTTCTGAGCCCCGTAGCTCCCTGAGCCTCAGCATAAACATCGTAAACCTCCTGGCCCTGGCAGTGTCTGTTTCATCCCCTCCAGAGCAAGTGCAAGCGTGAGATTTAGAGATTCTAAGAGAAGGGCCAGAGGTCTTGAAAACGACCTTCATTCGTTCATTCATTTGATAAATTGGGGTGGGGGGGAGACCTCCGTGTCCTGTGTTTAGTGAGGCCTGGGATGCAGATGTGAAGGGCGCTGCGCTCAGGAGCAGACGGAGGTGTAGACGAATCGCTACACACCCACCTCGGGCCCACAGAAGGCGGGAAGCTGTGGGTGTGGGGGGGAGACCCCTCCACATCACGCTGACGGTGTCGGCAGAGTGACCAGCTTCTGCAGGAGTGGAACCTGCGGGTTCTTCTGTGACTTGTGTAACTGTATCTTCTGCCCGGTAGTTAGTCTTTTCCTTTTGGGACACTGGTAGTTTGGAAGTGGTTTCTTCCATCCATTGCCTGCCTTTTAGCTTTGTCGATGGGGTCGTATTGTAAATCTGGGTACATGTTGAATGTGAACAATAGTTATGAGGTGAGTGCCATGAGTTCCTGTGTGCCTGTCACCCAGCCCGGCCACGAGAGGTGCTGGAGGGACTGTCCACATCCCCCTTTCTTAGGACGCCCGAGTCTCGGGTGTGACTTACAGGGTGTTTCTTATGGCAAGACGGTTAAAACAAACTTCGGTGTCTCTTCTCTCCTTCTATGGCTCTGGCTTCTGATGTTCTAATGGCGTTCTCATCGGCCAGGGCTGAGAGCAAAATGACATAGACTGCGGGGCTTACACAGCAGAAACTTACTCCCATGGTTCTGGAGATAGCGAGTCTTGGTCACCGTGTCGCGTGGTCAGGTTCCTGGTGAGGGTCAGATTCCTGGCTAACGGAACCACCTTCCCAAGGCTCCCTCTCCTGATACCGTATCCCTGGGGGCGAGGCTTCAACACGGGAATTTGGGGGACGCATCAGCACTGACTCCATCTCAAATGGTTAGTTCTTTAATCCCCTGGAATGTTGTTTGGGGTTGTGTGAAAGACGGGACTAACATTTTCTTTTTCAAATACATAGCCAGTTGTCACATCATTTATTGAAAAAGGAATCTTTTCTCCACCGACTGACATGAAATGCTACCATCGTCGTAAACAACATTCCGGTAAATACTTAGTGCTGTCTCTGCTGTGTCCGTCCTGACTCATGGGGCCGTCTTCTGTTTCTGCATCAACTATGACAACTTTACAGCAGGCTGCCTCCCCGAGGCCGTTCAGAAGCATTCCTCAGTGGGTCCTACACGTTTCCTCTCCCACGTCAAGTTTAGAAGCAGTGTCAAGACCCACAGCAGTCCTGCGGGAGTTTTAAGGGATGCGCAGAATTTATGGGGACAGTTGGGAAAACTGACATTCATGTGACTTAGATTCCTACTACTTGGAAATGGATTCTGACTCTCAACGAATTTAGAGCTTTGGCAGAGTTTTAAAGATTTCTTTGATGTCCGACGTGCTCATTTCTTGGTTTGTTCTTGAGTATTTTCTGAATTTTTATGAAATCCTCAAAGTTTTTGTTATAATGAATGGGATACTTTCCCATAAAATGTTGTAATTCTGTATTGCTGTTCTAATAAACACTGTTGATCGATGTATATTGATGTTACACTTGTGATTGTAATAGTTTGTCCGTTCATTATTTTGAACTTTTTGGGTAAACAGTCATATAATTATGCAAGTAATTATAGTTGTGTCTCTGCCTTTCTAATGTTTATACTTTGTATATATTATCAGGTTGGCCAAGACTCAAGTATAAAATCAAGCGTCTTTCTCTTGTTTCTGACTAATGGGAATGATTCTAATGCGGGGGTTTCCAAACTGGTGGCCAGGGGGCCAAATCCAGCCTGTGGTCTCTTCTTGTAGGTGGTTTTATTGGAACACAGTTATGCCCATTCTTCTACGTATTGTCTGATGGCTACGTTCAGGCCACAGCAGTAGCGTTAAATAGTCCGGACAGAGGCAATATTGCCCGAAAAACCTAGAATATTCACAATCTGAGCCTTTACAGAAAAGTTTGCTGATATCTGTTCTCGTGTATTAAATACAATGTTTGTTACAAGTTAAGGAAGTTTCTGACTGTTTTTAGTTTTCTGAATATCTCGTGATTATGCGTGCTTTAAAATTAGGACTAAATATTAAATTGACCTGATGCTTGTTAGGGGCCTATCTTTTGAGATGCCCCAAAGTTCCCCTTTTTTAGTCTCCTCATGTAGTGAGTTGTACTAACAGATTCTCTAATGCTGAACCATCTTTGCTTTCCAGAGATTTTACTTGCTCCTGATGAATTGGATTCTGTTAATACTTTTATTTTTGGGTGATTACATCCCTATTATAAATAATACGTCAGCATCACTGTGTGTAGATGTGTGCGTGTTATTCTTGCTATTAGTTTCCCAGGTTTTTGGTTAACTATTGATGTGCTTTGGATCTGTGTCCCCACCCAAATCTCATGTTGAATTGTAATCCTCAGTGTTGGAGGTGAGGCCTGGTGGAAGGTGGATGGGTCATGGGAGTGAATTTCTCATGAATGGTTTAGTACCTTCCACTTGGTACTGTTCTCGTAATAGTGAGTTCTCGTGAGATCTGGTCATTTAAACGTGTGTGGCACCTCCCCGACCCTCCTGCTTTTGCTCTGGCCACGTAAGATGCAGCAGCTCCCCCTTCACCTTCCGCCATGATTGAAGGTTTCCTGAGGCCGCCCCAAAGCTGAGCAGAAGCCGGCATCATGCTTCCCGAACAGCCTGCAGAACCGTGAGCCAATTAAACCTCTTTCCTTAAAAATCACCCAGTCTCAGGTTTCTCCATAGCAATGTGATAATGGACTCACACAATTATATATCACAGAATGAATTGTGATACTTTTGTCTTTTTCTGTGCCTGGAAATAATAGTAATTCTTAGTAACAATTCACCTGTATCAAGTTATTCCTGTGCAGCAAACACACTTCTATATATTTTACATGAGTCAAGTCTTTAACCTGGAATCAACCCTCTGAACTAGGTATTGCTTTCATGTCCATCTGGCGGATGAAGAGGCTGAGAGTTTAAGTAGTCTGCCTAAGGTCACCAGCCACGGGCGGGAAGATGGGATTTGGACTGAGCAGTTGGCCTTCAGAGGACAGGTTCCTAAACGGTCGTTCTGTCTCTCCGTTGCAGAGGTCAGTCCCGCATATTCCCGTATAAAACTGCCTGAGCTTGGTGCTTTTTTAAAGGATATCATTTGATTACTTTTTTTTTTTTTTCTGTTTCCTGCCCATGTCCCATAGGGCTAATCAGATTTTCTATTTCTGCTTGAGTCAGTTATACTTTATATTTTCCTTTTTGTTGTTGTTTTTAGATTTTATTTTATTTTTTGAGACAGAGTCTCACTCTGTTGCCCAGGCTGGAGTGATCTCTGCTCATTGCAACCTCTGCCTCTCAGGCTCAAGCGATTCTCCTGCCTCAGCCTCCTGAGTAGCTGAGATTACACGTGTGTGCCACCTCGCCCAGCTAATTTTTGTATTTAGTAGAGATGGGGTTTCACCATGTTGGCCAGGCTGGTCTTGAACTCCTGACCTCAAGTGATCCACCCGCCTTGACCTCCCGAAGTGCAGAGATTACAGGCGTGAGTCACTGCACCCAGCCATACTTTATATTTTCTAAGAAAATCATCTGTTTAACCTGGCTTTTAAAATGTATCAGTATAAGCCAGAACATGGTAGTTTTATAATTGAAAAAACCTGCCCCGTTTGTTCTCTGTTCCTCTCTCCCTGTGACCCGGGGACTCTGTGTGTCCCAGGTGTCTGCCTGTGTCTTCCCCGAGGTCTTCTGGGTGGAGACTGGGGAGCAGGGGCCAGTCCACAAACACACCTCATGTTACCGTTCCCTGTGGGAACCCTCAGCTCTGTGGCCGTCTCAGATTAACACCCACTCCTCCTGCAGAATTTGAAAGGAGAGTTGCTATCACCAAATCCCTTCGGGTCTCAGCATTTACCCAAGTCACCTTGATTCCAGAGATGGCTCTTAACTTGCTTTCTATAAACCAGTACAGAGTGTGTCTGACGGCACAGAGGAAAACACTGCCAACACAAAGTTCCTGAACATTTTAAAGAGATGACACAGATGTTTTTTAAAGTGATCTAAATCACTGGAAATGCCCCTTTCTCCCTATTTTGTCAATGGATGGAAATATGTTGAGAAAGGTTCTTATTGTAAGAGAAACACAACAGAGTTAAAGCTACTAATGCCAATGCAAAACTGGGGAACAGCTGGGTGTGGCTCATGCCTGTAAGCCAAGCACTTTGGGAGGCGAAGGCAGGAGGATTGCTCAAGCCCAGGAGTTCGAGACCAGCCTGGGCGGGATGGCAAGACCTCGTCTCTACAAAAAAACATTTTTTTTTTTTTAAATTAGCCAGGGGTGGTGGCAGACAACTATGGTCCCAGCTACTCAGGAGGCTGAAGTGGGAGGTTGACTTGAGCCCAGGAGGTGAGGGCTGCACTTTTGATTTTGTTTGTTTGTTTGAGATAATGTCCAGCCTGGATGACAGAGCAAGGTCCTATCTCAAAAAAAAAAATGGGGGAAGATCCAGAAAAGTAGGGGACATCAACAATCAACACACTGTAAAACTATAATCGCAAACACAGTGATGTGTGTGTGCAGCTCACGGGGGCTGAGTGTGTGTGACGCTGTGCAGGCTCACGGGCCCCGGCACGTTTTGGCATCTGTCATCCGCAGATAAGGTGCTGCTGCTGGAGCCGCTGGAGCAGCGTCTGCGCTGGGAGGAAGCCCGTGGGGCTCTTATCATACCCTGCTCTGTGGGAACCTTCCAGACAAGACGGTCACTTCGGGGCAGATATTTCCTAGAGGGGCTTAGAATCAAAATCCCGGAATGAGGCCACAGAATGCTGAGTGGTTTCACAATCAAAATAGAGTTTATGTCAAATATTGAATATTAACAGCAACTAAAGCCAGCCTGGACTGAACAGCTGCCAATGCTCAGCCTGGGCGGGGGCTCAGGACAAGGGGTTCTTATGGAGCCCCTCGAGACCCCCAGGAGGTGGATGCTGCCGCCAGCTCTTGATGGAGCCCTTGGGCTGCAACAACAGCAGGAACTGAACCCCAGGGGCTTTGGGTCTAACAAAAGAATGTCTGGACATTAGCGGCAAAAGCAGGCGGGTGGGGAAGCGAGCGCAAGCGGGGGTGCCCTTGATACTGGCTACCCCTCCACATCTCTGTCTGGGCCTCTGCACACGGCACCTCTGCCTCCGTCCTCTGCACACGGCACCTCTGCCTCCGTCCTCTGCACACGGCACCGACTGCTCCGGGGGCGGCCCTGCCACGGTGAGCGGAACATGGTTCGAGGAGGGTGGGCCGGGGACAGGGTGACCCATGGGTGCAGGTGCCAGAGCTTGCTGGAGCTGGCTGGGCTTTGGGGATCAGTCACCTGGTTCTGCAGATACAGAAGTATGTCAAGTAATCAGCACTTTGACCAGGGCAGGACTCGGATCCAGGCTGGCAGCTGCCCAGCCCAGGGCTCCTCGTACCACCGTGTGGGCCACACACTTTCCGAATAGGAGAAGGTTCAGAAGGTGAAGTCTGCGCCCAGGACCTGCAGAGGTGAGAGGTGAGAGGTGAGGGTCAAGCATTCCATACCCCGAGGTCCCTGGGGCCCCGCCCCTCTGCACAATGACAGTCGTCTGGGAGAGGTTTCCCACAGCTGGCCTTCCCTCCAGACCACTTGAGGCTCCCATCGATGGAATGTTCATCCTCTAACTGCAAGGTTTTTCGCAAACCACAACTTTCTATCTTAATCTCATGAAACTGGGAATCCCAGACCATGAGAAAGTCAGGAAATGGCTTTGAACACCGGCAGGCACTGCGCGGCGCTGGGGGCGGGGGCCAAGCCTGGGAACTGTCTCTGCTGAAGGTCTCGGCCCCACGTAGCCCGTCCCTCAGACCCGCGTGCGGCTCATCCCCTTCGGCGCCTCTTTTTCGGAGCCCCCCTACCCAGAATGTCCCACCCCAAGGCACGCAGAGGGTGCCCCTGCGGGGTCTCAGGCACCTCCTGACTTCCCGTGAGTCCTGGGCGCCACCTGCAAGAGGTGAAGACGCCAGGACCGTGGCTTGGGTCTCGGGTGGCTCTCGGGTCAGAGGGCCGCCCTGCACCCTCACCTGTCCCAGAAGCCCCCACTCCCGCAGCTGCCCGCTCCCCTCCGGGGGCCTCAGCTCTTCTCTTGCTGCCTCCCCCAGGCCTTGCTCCTGCCTCATCCTCCGTCCTCCTCCGCCTTGGCATCCCATTAGCTTAAGACCACCCTTCAGCACTGCTCAGCCCCAGACAAAGCAGAGCAAAACTCAGAGTCGCCCTGAGACCCCCACAGTCTCCGGTCGGGCCTTGCTTCCTGGAGCGCTGCCCCTGCCTGCTGCCTGGTGTGACCTGCCTCGTGCCACCCCCGCGGCCCCAGCTGCCCCTGAGGCTCCCTGGGTGGGGGGTCTGCGACCGCCTCCCTGTCTTCACTGTGGGCAATCCTGTGGCTTCATCCACCCCAAACTCACCTGCTCCTTGGCATCCACTTGATTTGTCTTGTGCGGGGCAGGTGCTCTCTTCCCCACACGGGGCCTCCCTTGAGGTCACCTGCAGGGGCCTCTGTGGGTTTCCTTGAGAGGGGCCTGTGGGTCCTGCCCCCCATCCGACACTAAGCGTTGTAGGACGAGGACGAGGGACTCACATCGGGGATCCCCCACCACATTCAGGCCTCACAGCAGCCCTGGGGGTGGACGGGTCCCCAGGGTTGGCCATAGCCCCCAAGTGCCTCCCCGTGAGCCATCCTGACCGCCAGAAGGCCCCCGGTGACACCAGCACAGTCTCCCTCTGGGTTCCCACACTGGCCACAGGGCACTCAGGGGCAGGCTTGGCCGGAAGTCTGGTCCAGGAATTGGTACCGACTTTTCCTGGCTTCTAGAAGGTTCAGCTCTGGCCAGGGGTCGGGCCCAGGAGACAGAGCAAAACCCAAAACCCCCTGAGACACCCACCTTCTCTGGCGGGGCCCCAGAGACCTCGGGGTATGGAACACTTGACCTTCACCTCTCCTCTTTTGAGCTGCAATCTGGGGCAGGTGTGCGCCTCCCCACTCAGCCCGACAGGAAGCTGATCTAAGCCCTGGCCCCGCGCACGGCCACATCCCGGCAGCACGGACCAGACGCAGTCCCGACTGCGCCCGGCACCTCCCGTCTCACAGCTGAAGGTAACCCGGGTGGTGTGGGGCTTGTCCGGGCTGGCGGTTGCTGAGGAGAAGGGACACATGTGCTGACGGAAATGCAGGCCCAGCTCGACGGCGGGGTCAGGGTTAGGATTTCCACGTCATCGTCATGAAGCCTCGAAGCGCTGCCTGTGCTTAGCAGTTAAAACATTCACTTGGAGATGTTCAGTTTCACAGACGGCCAGGAAAGGGCGGGGTGGTGCGAAGCATTGCTCCCCAGGGCACGCGGGAGGCGGCCCAGCCCTCGCCAGGACGCTCCCCCACCTCCCTCACTGGGCTGTGGCCCTGGGGACGCTACCACTGGCCTCACACCCTGGAACGTGGATGGGCCGCTCTGGCCTGTCTGCAGGGGAAACGGCTGTCACTTCCATCAGAGACGACGGATGCAGCAGGGCCTGTCTGTGCCAAAACCAGAGTCGAGGCGCGTCCCGGCAGCCAGTGTGTGGGGAACCCATCAGTCTCTGTGTGGACGGTCGGGGAGGCCCGATGGCTTTTCCTTCCGTTCCTGTAGGCCCGAGGCCTTCCCCGAACGCACTCGTGACTGGGGCCCGGCCAGCAGGCGTCCAGGAGTCAGCGGCTGCTTGGGGAGCCAGGGCCTCAGGCACACGAGCAAAGGCGATGCTGGCAGGCAGACTGGTAGCTGAGAGCGAAAGGCGTGGCAAGGACCCTCCTGGTTGCTGCTGGAGCCCCAGGCTCGTGAGTCGCCTCTGTGTCCTGTCCCCTGCGTTGGGCAGCTTCACCTGCTCAACCTGCCCGGCCTGGGTGTTTCTGCTTCTAAGCGCCCCCCTCACAGTGGTCTTGGGAGGCTGACGTGAGAGAACCCGGCTGACTGCAGTCTCCAGGGAAGCCGGCATTCGGGGCACACAGAGGTCCTGCCTTGGTGCCCAGCCCTGGGACACCCCACAGTGAATGCCTCCTCCGCCCGGTCTCCGTGTCCCTGAGCTCCTGCTCAGGCCCCCAGAGCTGGCACTAAGGGTGGATGCAGCAGCTGTTGCACAGGACAGGGATGGCAGAGCCCATCCGAAGGGACACGCCACCTGGAAGCCACTTGCACCGGCTCTGTCTGGTGTCTGCCATGGGAAGGACGTGCCGGAAGCCCAGGGGCGTGTGGGAGGCCTGGGCCTCGGGCTGCGCCCTGGTACGTGTCGGGGGGACATGTTCTGTGAAGGTGCCGCAGCCACCTCACCTCCTTTCCATGGGTGAGCAGCGTCCTTGCCGGGGGTGTTCCCGGCAGGGGGAGGAGAGCATCACCCTTGGGCCAACACTGCCACCAGCAGCGTCTGGACCACAGAGCTCAGCATCAGCAGCTGCTCCGCTGGACCCAGGGTGGCGAGGGGCTGCGGGCGGCCCCCGTCCAGCAAATGTCAGCACCTGGTTATTAGTGATGTTTAATGACAGAAGTGTGGTCACAGCGAATTCATCGTCCTTGGAATTTGAGGCATGCTCTGCCCAGTGCAGTGTCAGGGCTGAGTGGGGCCCCCAAAATCCATATACTGGATCCCCAACTCCCAGGACCTCAGAGTGGGACTGGATTTGGAGATGGGGCTGTAAGGAGGTGATTACAGTAAAAGGGAGTCACTGGGGTGGCCCTGTCCGGTTTGACTTCCAAGGAGGAAATGAGGACTCAGAGAGCACAGAGGGGCCCTGGGAGGACGGGAGGAGCCGTTGACTGCTAGCCAAGGTGATCCTGGAGGCCCTGGCCCCGCAGCGTCTGGATGCTGGGCCCCAGCCTGCAGGACTGTGGGAGAATCAGTGTGGGACGCCAAGCCCCTGTGCGTGGTCCTCTATCCCCGCTGCCGAGCAGGCTAAACTGACCGCGAGGTTTGGGTGACACTGGGCTGGGCTCGTTATTGATCAGCCCTTGGGCACTGTGAATTCAGCCATTACTCCCTCCCACATCAACCATCTGCCTGTAAACAGGGACTCTCAGACAGCCCTTTCATGAGACACTAATCCCACCCTTCAAGGTAGAGCCCTCAAGGGCGTTCCCACCTCAGCAGCTCCCCCAGCCATCACACCAAACACAGCCCAGACCAAAGCCAGAAGCTCTCTGAGCTCCAAGGACCGGCTTGCGCCCCCACCTTCCCGCCATGTTTACCTCTCCTACTGTCATCTGTTCAGTTCCAGCCAGACCACGGGGCTTCTCACCGTCCCTCCCACTGCGGCTGCCGTCCTCTGGCCTGGACTGTCTTACCCTTCCACCCTCCTGGCTGAGCTCGCCCGTCTCCTTGGAACGCTCTCACAAGCCCCCTGCCAGAAGGCGCTCGTCTGGACCACCTGACCCCACGGGCCCCTCCCCTGCTCGCTTGGCCACACCTCTCCGTGAGATTGTCCATCTGTGGCAGCCGTGGTGTGGGTGAGTTTTGTCCTGCTAACTCTCCTCCATACCTGCTCCATGCCTGGCAGTGGTGGTCCAGGGGCTGGGTGCCCAGGGTAAAGTGGGGAAGAAGGTGATAGGCACCCAGCCACACGCTCCATGCCCACCGATCCCTGGGGCCAGCCAGGCTGCAGGTGCCCTCCCCCAGGTGAGAGTCCACTCGGTCTTGCGATTCCAACAGAACAGCCCTTCTCTCCTTCTTCTGTGTGTCTCCAGGGCCAGGGAGGAGATGCTCTGGGCAGAGAGCCCAGGTGGCATCTCAGCCTGGGAGTGATGGTGCTGCTGTGGTTCCAATGTCTGTGTTCCTCCGAAATCCATATTGAGACTGAATCCCCAGTGCAACAGGGTCCAGAGGTAAGGCCTTCAGGAGGGTTAGGCCGTAAAGGTTCCACCTTCAAGGGTAGGATTAGAGCCTTATGAAAGGGCTGTCTGACTGGCCAGGCCCCTTTTGCCCTTCCACCTTCTGCTATGAGAGGACACAGTAACAAGGGGCCGTCTTGGAAGCAGAGAGCAGTCCTTCCCAGACACCAAATCTGCTGGGGCCCTGGTCTTGGACTTCCCAGACTCCAGAGCTGTAAGCGGAACATTTCTGCTCTTTACGACTCACCCAGTCACAGATACCTTCTTACAGCAGCATGAAGTGGCCGCGGCAGCCTGGGCCCTCCCAGCCCCACCATGCTGCTTCCTGGAGATGCTGGAAGCGGCGGGGGACGCCAGCCACACAGGGTGCTTCTCACTTTTAATTTTACTTTTTATTTCAAAACAATTTCAAATACACCAAAAAAGTTGCAAGAACAGTACAAAGAGTATGTATTCTTCACCTAGAGACCTATTCGGGTTTTACCAACTGTCCCAATAATGCCTTTTTTTTTTTTTTTTTTTTTTTTGAGAAGGAATCTCACTCGGTCCCCCAGGCTGGAGTGCAGTGGTGCAATCTCGGCTCACTGCAACCTCCGCCTCCCGGGTTCAAGTGATTCTCCCACCTCAGCCTCTCGAGTAACTTGTACTACAGACGTGTACCATCACAGCTGGCTAGTTTTTGTATTTTTAGTAGGGACGGCATTTCACCATGTTGGTTGGTCAGGCTGGTCTCGAACTCCTGACCTCAGGTGATCCGCCCACCTCGGCCTCCCAAAGTGCTGGGATTACCTGGATTGTGAGACTTCATGCTCGTCCTCAACCTGGAGCAGTCTTCAGTCTTTCCTTGACTTCTAAGACCTTGACTCTGTGAAAAAGAGAAATACTCTCAATTAGGGTTTATTTCGTGGTTCGACCCAGGTTGTCAGTGGAGGGAACTGGTTCATCCGGGTTGGGAGGTGGGCGTACTGATGCGTTCACTCGGAGGGTCATTGACCTTGACCATCTGGGGAACGTGGCATCTGTAGGGGTCTCCACTGGAAATTCCTTCCTTCTCTATAATTCATACACATTTCGTGGGAACACTCAGAGGTGACGTAAAACCCCGTTCTTCACTCCACTTTCACCACGAGGTTTGGCATTGACTGATGTTCTTGTTGCCTGAATTAATGGTGACTGCAGCGGCTGCTGGGGGGAATTCCTCATGCCGTCACTTATCAGCTGGAATTCTACTGGGGTGGGTGAGCTTTCTTTTTCCCCCATTTATTAATTAAGTAAATTGACATCTATATAGAACCACAGAGTCTCATTTTATGCACAGGCCATCATCTGTTCCTGTCCTTATTTAGTTTATTTTGATGTTACGTTTGTCTCAGCGGGGGACCCTTCAGGCTGGCATCTATGTCTTTTTCATGTCCATCCATGTTTTCTGGCATTTTCTTACTTTGCAAACGCATGCACACACATTTCATCTGCAGATTCTTCTACCTATTTGTATTGGGAACCCTGCATTCTGGTGCTTCCAAGTTGAATCTAATACCACGTGCGCCGCTGTGGCTGCCTGTCTACATCGCGCCTCCAGTCGACCCTGCCGGCCTCCCTACACACGCTCACATGCTCGGCCTCCTGTGTGTAGCCGGTCTCCTGACCCATGGGGCTCAGACCGGCCTAGAGGCTGCGTTGCCTAAAGCTGCCCTCTGTCCTGCTCCAATGCCTCCTCCATGGAGCCCAGACCCCCACCGGGCTCCCTCCCTGCCTGCGTGGGAAGGAGGGGGTCTTTCTGAATCCAGCTTTCTCCGAAGCGAGGGTGGAATCTCTCGTGGAAGGGGGGCCCTCGCTCTGCCGCACCCTCTGCGGGAGGCAGCGGTGAGGTGCAGGCTCTGCTAGTCCTAGGGCAGCTGTGCTCAGGCCAGACAACAGAGGAAGGGGCTCCTGCAGAGGCTGCAAGGTCCCCCAGGCCATCCTTGCTGCCCCATCCTCAGGTGCCATGGGGAGGACCTCGCAGGGAGCCTGACTGGTTCACTGTCCCTCCTGCTTCATCTCTCACTCAGGCCCCGGGACTCTGCCCCAGCCAAAGCCAGCGTGGGCGATTCATGGCTCCCCGCTGCGGCAGCTGAGCACCATCAGAAGTGACCCCATTTGTGACTGTCTTGGCCTGAGAATGTTCCACGGGTGAGAGCGTGCCCCTCCCTGCAGCCAGTGTCCCAGGCTCCCCCGCAGCCCCGGCGGGGGCTGGGCTCAGGCACTGACGCAACAAGAAGGAGAGCGCTTGTCTCCGGGCAGCCCAGGCGGCCAGACAGCCAGTCCACTTAGCTTCGCTACTGCAGCCACAGCTGCCCAAGGCGCACAAAGGGCCCTTGTTCCCACCCAGCATGTGCTCCGGGCGCCCCCCGCCACGACCTCTCCCGGACATGATTAGGTGTGGGAACTATTTTCCTTGGGGCTGCATTTGACATTTGCCGTTCATTTGGGAGGAGGCGTCTGAACCGAAGGAGCACCCCGCAGCCTCCCCTCTCCATCCCCATCTCAATGCAGGAGGTTTAGGAGCAGGCGGCCCTGACACGCCTGTGACCCCAGACAGGCCTGTGCAGCCCTGGCCTTCATTGCCTTCCACTCAGAACAGGAGAGGCTGGCCCAGGAGGGCAGCGGGCAGAGAGGACGACAGGAAGATGGAGCTGGGGTGCACAAGCACACACATGCATGCATGTGCAAATACACATCAGGAATACACGTACACAGATACACTCCAAGAATATGCATGCATGTGCAAATACACATCAGGAATACACGTGCACAGATACACTCCAGAATATGCAGCATTGCAAAACCATCAGGAATACACGTGCACAGATACACTCCAAGAATATGCATGCATGTGCAAATACACATCAGGAATACACGTGCACAGAAACACTCCAGGAAAACAAAGCACATGTGCAAACCAGGAACACACATGCACAGACACACTCCAGGAATGTGCATGCATGTGCAAATACACACCAGGAACACACGTGCACAAACACACTCCAGGAAAACACAGCACATATACACACCAGGAACACACGTGCACAAACACACTCCAGGAAAACACAGCACATATGCAAACCAGGAACACACGTACACAGACATGCTCTACGAATATGCATGAACAATACACCAGGAACACACGTGCACAGACACACTCCAGAACACACACAAATGGCAGATGTACAAATACACACCAGGAATGCACACGTAGACATGCACAAAAAGACGGAGTGCTCTGTGTGGAACAGTGAAGACACGCAACCTGTTCCCTAAGGACATTTACTCACATGTTCACACTCACAGCCCAGCCGGCCAGCCCCAGCAGAGCTGCAGCCTCATGAAAGCAGGGGCTTGCTGTCCAGTGGGACTTCAGGGCCTATCTCCCACCTGCCCCACTCACGGGCTGCCCATGCCCTACTCTAGTCCTTCTCGCATAGTGGGACCCAAGATGCATTTGGGCCCAGCAGGAGGGAATGTCCTGGTGTGTGAGGAATGGCAGCCGGTGGGAGCTCCATGAACTGCCTGGCCCCAAACCTGCACTGGGAGCATTGCTGAAACTGCCCTCAAAACCACAGTTGAGAGCCGGGTGGGCCCTGGGAGTTTACAGTGTGCTGGGGCAGTGGGAGGACGCTCTCATAAACATTGGAGAAGATTGCAAAATCGTGGACGCGAAACGTGGAGCCAGAGTTCAGTTGTAGGCTGGGGCCTCTGGCGGGACTGGAGCAGCCGGGGCAGTGCCTGGCAAGCTGGGCTGGGTCTGGCGCCCCTTTCTACCTGAGCCCAGGCTGCCATCTGTAGACAACTGCTGCCTGCCCGCTGTCTCGTGCTGCTGAGGGGCTGAAAGGGTCCTGTGGCAGAGTGGGCAGGGTGGCGGCCGATTCCCTTTTCCTGCAAGGGACCGTTTTCCTGAAGTCCACAGCGCTGGTGCCATCCGGCAGCCTCGGCCCTCCTCCAGCCTAGCCGCCCCAACATTGTGTTTGACTCCCGGAGCCTGTGGATGGAACCCTGCCTAAGAGGGAGTCTTGTGGGTGAGGTGAGGTCAGGCTCATGAGGCAAGGAGATGGTCTGGTCTATCAGGGCGGCGGGGGGGGACCTAGATGACATCTCAAGGGTCCTTAGGAGAGAGAAGAGAACAGGGCACAATCCAGCCAAGGGACTCCAGGGCTTCCAGGAGCTGGAGGAGGCAGGAAGGATCCTCCCCCGCAGCCCTGGCGCCCTTGGAGGGAGGCAGCCCTGTGACGCTTTCCTTTCAGACTCTGGCCTCGGACCTGACGAGCACATTTCTGGTGCTGAAGGCATCAAGTTCGTGACACTTTGTTACCGCAGCCCCAGGACACATGCAGACTGTCACCTTGACCCAAAGTAGCACATTTTATTCAAATTTCACAAAACTGAGGACGAGGGGACATTCCAGCTGCCCAGAGAAAAGCTCATCTGACTCATCTGTAGGAAGATGAGTTACCAGTAATGAGTCACGGCTTTTAAAATGTCCAAAAATACCTGTTTTTCCCTGAACTTTTAGTTCTCACTACCCTGATCAGAAAATTAAAAACAAAACAACACTTCGTGGACCAGCCCCGACAGCCGCCGTTCTGTTTTCTCCAGGCCAGCGCTGAGCGGAGCCGAGCTGGGGAGACCTGGGCAGTGCCAGGGCTGGCCCTGCTGCTGCTTCCTGGCTTCTGGACCGGGCTTCCTGTTGGCTCAGGGCCGGGGAAGCCCAGCCTCTGAACAAAGTCAGGGTCAATATCTGCGTCCCTGCCCTGGCCAGGCACTGCATCTCACAAGGGAAAGACCTATTTATCCTTAAATGGGAGAGAAGACAGAATCCCAGAAGGGGGCAGTGACCCAACTAGGTTCAAAGGGCTGCCCCTGGGAAACCAGCCGCTTCTCAACCCCAAGGCAGCCTGCCCGCCCCGGAGAGCCCAGGATCCCCAGACACTTTCAGGGCATGGTGCAGGGCCCGTGAGCAATGCTGGCTTTAGGCCTGGACAGCAAGGGGTGGCCCTGGTTAGAGATGAACTGCACTCCCTGCCAGGCACCATCCTGGATAATGGAGACACTCTAGGAACATGCATGTACACATGTACATGCTTGCACACACATGTGCACACATGCAGTTTACACATGCACACACAGCCGTGTGCACACACACATTCATACACACATCATACACATCCACACACATCCATATACATGCACACACATGCACACACATCCATACACACATCCATACACATCCACACACATCCATACACACATCCATACACATCCACACACATCCATACACACATCCACACACATGCACACACATCCATACACATCCACACACATCCATACACACGTGCACACACATGCAATCACCCAAACACACACAACCACATGCACACACACATCCACACAGGTGTACACACATGCAAAACATGCACATGCAGCCATGTGCATACACATGTGCACACACATATACACACATACAAGCCCCCACATGCTCTGCATGCATGCAGCCATGTGCACACACGTGCACACACGTATACACACATACAAGCCCCCACACACTCAGTGTGTCCACAGGTGGAGGTGGGTGGGGAGGGTGTTCCTGGCCCTGAACACGGGTGTTCCAGGGAAGCTGGGCAGGTAGGGGCGGCTCTAGGATGGCGGTGCCCAAGCTCAGCCTGGCCTCTGACTTCCTGGCTGCTGCCCTAAGGACCAAATCCCCAGAAGCAGGGTGAGGACATCTGAGAATCGGGCTGCTCTGTAGCAGACCCATAGACCCTGATGCATGGCTGGGCACCCTGGCCTTTCCCAGAGCCTGCAGAAAGAAAGAAGCCTAAACAAACTCATCCACCTCTCCTGTCCCAAGATGCCTTTCGATCCAGGTCAGCC